TCACTCCTTTCGCTACTATAGATTTCTTTGCAGGCGAATAAGATCTGCATTTGTTTTGCGATCTGTGGTGTTAATCAAAAATATCGTTGGCTACGGTTATGTTTTTATCTTAATTTACGTTACTTTTCAAATGCCAATCGTCCTTATGTTTATGTTATGTGCTGATGAAAAACCTGAGCTCTTTGCGGTTGTTTTACGACGTGTCTCGTGAATAATTTTCAATTTTATAAACTAAATGGCAAACCTATTACATCTTAATTCTACCTGTAGGAAAACATTATTGTCATCATTTGCAGTAAATGCATAAATATGCATAACGCATATGTGCATACATCTTATAAATATCGGCGAAAATGTTCATAAGCATGTTTTCATAACATACGCGTGACATTTGATAATAACTTATGATTGTTGTTAGCGTATAACCCGATGCACCTTTATCTGGCTGGGAGCTTAAGCCAAGTTGTTGTACAGTCGTACCTTGTATGCATTTAATTGTTATATTTTATGAGCTTTTTTTTTGTTTTTTTTTAAGTTACTATTATTGTTGGAAGGCGTGATTTGAAATTTTCACAGAAGTGAAAACCTTTTCAATTAAACACCAAATTTAAAATCTCTGCAGAAGAGCCACACAAACAAGACAGTGAACGCGTAATAATTGATAAAAGCACGAAAAGTGTAACAGGATAACTACCAGCCATCGTCAACTTTTGTTTACAATTAGGTTATGTCATAAGAAAATAATAAGTTATATATAATATATCATATGTAGGGTCAAGTTCGTTCCACTTATTCAATGCTACACCATTTGTGGTGCAGAGCCATACTATGTTCGTGCGGATGTACGCAATGTCCAGAAAATCCAACTTTTATTATATCTAAGCTTATCTGTCCGTTTGTATGGGTTCCTTTTTTTGTGCTCAGCCTACAGGTCGCAATTTTTAAGATATTTTGATGAAGCTTAGTACACTGACAAGTTTTAGCCCAAGAACAAAAGTATTCAAAATGGTTCTAATATAAAGCCTTACATTGCAAAATCGCTACAACAACAACAGTATTGAGCGGAGAGGTGTAAGGCATTTGACGGTAGGCCCTGGCTCACCATAATGTTTTTACTTCTTCGTTTTACTTAATGGCATAAAAAATTCAGAACACAATCATTTTGTGATGGTATTTGATTGAATGAGATAAGAAATTTAATGTCGATTCTGTGCAGGTGATGAAAATGTTTAAAATAAAGTTCGGAAACCCTATTAGAAATTGTTTTTCGTAACGCATAACGAACGACTATAGGCTGGTGTAGGGCTGTGGCTGGCCATGGTGTTTTTACATTTTTCATCTAAAAATTTTTGTAACAACACACAGTTTTCCCTCCTTTTTCGAGTTTTCTTTCCGTAAGTTTTTGCATTTTTTCCAAGAACTCCCTACTTTCTTTTGCTCTTGCCTTTTTAGTACTACAAAGCTGGTATTTACTTAACATTGACATGAGTTCATCCATAAAGAGAGCACTTGGCATCGTTTGCAAATTCTGGATAAATTACATTGGATCTATATTAAGGGATCGGCAAAGAACGTGACAAAAAGTCTACTAACATATGTTGTGGTAGCGCTACTTTTTGCGTGGAAGGACAAAATATTTATTGCTTATCTTTCAAGGTTAAGTACAAAAACAATATTTTATTGAATTGAAGCCGTTGTGGCTGTCCGCAATTACATTTATATTGAACGTTCAGACGGTCCTTGTGCACAGTAAGTAATAGATAAGCACTTGCTGTTGATTGCAAGTTACAGTATTTTAGCTATCCTCTAAGTCGATTACGATCACGCACAAGTGTGCCAAGGTTCAGATGTCTATCTCAAGTTTTGTGAACGTGGCTGTATTAACAAGAGACAACTGACAGGTATGGAAGTAATTGAACCAATGAAAAATATTTGCAGTCCATTTCTTTCCGAATGTTGAAAGCGAAGGACCACATCCGCTATGAAAACAATCTAAAAATGCTAGCACTCTGCTTAGTGCCATTTGCCCAAAGGTATTTTCTATTCGGTTTCATTTTGTCTTTTCGATTATAATCATTTACATATTTTGAAGAACTCTTTTTTTGTTTGTGGACATGGGTCAATGTGTCAGTCTACGCATCTTTCAACCCGTATGTCTTTCTATTAAATAACTAGTTTGCTTTGTATTCTTATTGACTCATCCGTGCTTTTGTGGCTTAAACTCATTCAGCCTTTTAATGTGATTGTATCAGTATGAACTATGTAAGAAATCATAGTGGGACAAGGCTGACCATTAGAGGCCATACACCCCTTTGCCAAGTACAATTATTCGGCCGTTTTGGCAATAAAACACCAAAAGTTACACATTGTTGTCATGCAAAGGGGCGCTTTCCATGAAATATCAGCATATCGGAGGATGCTCAAAAATATCACATGACGTGGTCTAAATTTTGCAAACTTAATTAAATAAAAATTAGAAATTATACCTTTTCGCCTGAAAGGGTTTTGTTTTTCATGAAAAGAGAATCTACAAAGTAGACTTATGATTCCTGAGAAATCTTATATAGAGCGTGATCCGAGGAATAGACAGATAAATCGTAAAACATTAACTATTTAGCCTGTTTGGGCTTAAGGGCTTTAAGCCTTAAGGGTTTACATTTCCTGAAAAACTTCACACGCCTGCTGTCCAAAATGTGGACTATAGAATAAAAAAGATTCACGTTTCGTTGGAACTGTTATTTGAGAGGGGATTGAAAATATAGCCCCAGCTGAACCAAATTTTTTATACCAAAAAATTTTTTAAATTTGCAATTTGTTTCTATATAACGAATTTTCAGCACAATGAGTTATGTGGGGAGTGGTCGACAAAAAGGAGCCGATCCGAAGTATTTTCAATAGCTTCCATCCTTGTGCCAAAACACGTCAGTGTACTAAATTTCATTAAAGTATCTCAAAAATTGTCACCATTTTCGACCACTCCCCGTACAAAGCCTTACTTTGAAAAGTCTTTATATGAATAACTGCATTAAGTGATGTAGGGTATCCAATGGCGGGCCGTAACCGACTATAATGCGCTTATTTTCAACTGTTTTCTCAAGTACTCTTCAGTAACGCAAAAATTAATATTATTTAAAGACTCCCTGTAAAACTCCAGCTGTAGACATACAGATTAAGAAACTGTTTTTCTTCTTAAAATGTGTTGATATTCTCGAAGTGTAATGCCCTTGTTTAACTTTTAAGTGTATGCTCAATAACTTATCTAAATGTCTTTTTTCTATGGCCTTTTTTCATCAAAAAGCGGGCTTTAATATCTCACACCATTTCCGGCACAAGGTATGCTAAGTTTGCGCGGTTGTATGTAGTAGTCAGAAGAGCGTAAGGCAAATCCACATTTTCTTCCTCGTTCGGTTCTGATTCATGTTTTGAATCGATGTAAGCCTTCCTATCTATATGTCTGTCTTATGTCTCTCCACGTATTCTTACATTTAACTTACTGGCCGATAAGATATTACGATGAAATTTCGTACATTGCCTGGACGACGAACTCAATTCAAAATAGATGAGATGGGACTATTTTTACGACCATTCAACATGAACCATTGAAAGAGTCATCATACAAACAAAAATTGCAATTTTCAAAATTTCTGAACAAAAATTTTGGTCTAATAGTGTTTAACTTAGGAACTTAAGTCGACCATTTTTTTGATTCGAGACAATTAGTGGAAAAAGGGGAAGCTGATGGAAGATATCTTTTATGAAGGCATGAAGATCTACAGGAATGCGTAGAGATGCTGCTGTGAAAGATGAGCGATTGGATTAAGGAAAGCGCTATATAAGAAAAGTAATTAGAGGGTTCGTATTAAAAAATAAGTTTATTAAAAGAAGCAAGAGCGTGTTTGATTAACCTAAATCATTTTAATTTTGCCTCTTCCTCATTTCTTCTTCTTTAATTTTCTTTGCAATAGATAATCATTTTTGAATATAATATATATGAATGTTTGTCGTATCCAAAGAGTCTTAGCTAGGTCAAGCAATATATTAGAAGTCGGCGAAAGGTTAGTATAAACTGTACCTTGGTTTCTTTAGTGATATCGCATGCTTGAATCGATACTCTTTACATCTGTTCAAACCTATATGCAGATATAAAAACATAACCATTTCGAATTCACTTTCACTCGGCACTGTTGTGTGTGCTCTTGTTTTTCTTTCTGTATTTAAAAAAAGTCATTCAAACTTTTAATGCAAACGTTTTTAAAACGAATTCTGAACCCCTTTTCTTACTGATATCAGATCAGCTGCTTATCAATGCATTCCATATGGCTTAGTAGTATAAGGGCAAAATAAAAATATTTATAATTTTTTTTTTTGCCTTTAATTGCATTTGCGGTTTCATTTATTTTAGCAGCAGTTCAACAAACGGGTTGGATTTGAAACATGAAAACAAGAACGAAAGACTGGAACAACGTTATCTAAAGTCCCGACTTTTAATAAAAGATCATAGTTCTCCCTTTCATCTTATTAGAAAATTAAAAACGTCTTTCTTTCGGTTACAAGGAGAGTTCAAAGTTTAGTGTAAGTATAGTGTAGTGTGATGACTGTCGTAAAACGCATAAATTTGCAAATGCTTTGCATCTACCCATAAAACGCATATGATCTGTTTTTACGGATTACTGGTTAAAGTACTAATAGTAAATAAATGAAAAGAAAAATATTGCAAAAAAAAAGAGTTAAAAAAGAAAAATAAAAAATCGACAGACTAAATGTCAGTCCGATGTCAGAAAATCGGTGAGAAATGCTAAATTTGCTCCAATTTATTTGACTTCAAAAAAGAAATGAACAGCTCAGGGAAATTATCTGCATATAATTGAATAAATTTTATAGAAATTACGAAACCAGATAAAAAAAAAAATTATAGTAATGACATGTATATATATATATATACGTATACATGTATAATAATAATAACTCTTGCTACCGAAAGAAAGCGTAAACAATGTGTTTCTGATATTAGTCGCACGTACATAAATGAAGCAACGAATCGATTTCATCTGACGAAAAGAGTAAGAAAAGATTTAACGGACGTGACAACATCAAGTCTTGTATAAGGTCTAGCAGCTAAGATGAGAATACGGTAAAATTATGAAACACCTATGTAGTAAAAGAGAACAAAGTTCTAAGATGTTATTTAGAATTTAGAGAAATGTGGACAGATAAGATAATTAATATAAATGACTTAGTCGAAGCGATTTAAGGTATTTTTCGTGCGGTAGATCGCGAACTGTGTGCTCTATATGAAAATACATCACTTATAGTTTTTCGTCTGCCTGTTTGTCTGTCTGTTTGTTTGCTTTTCTTCACTCCTCTCTCGCTGTCTCCTATTACTTACTTTTATATTTTACAGTTGATCCTAAGTATGCATCAATGTACTTATACAGCGATTTTGTTTTCAATACAGATCTACATACAATAAAACTAAACAAAATTAGATGAGACTTTTTATTCGATACGGAATGTAATGCTTATCTTTGCATATAGAAAATTCGGGAATTAATTATATCATTTTTTTTTCTTTTTTTGAATGGCTAACCACTCAGTGGATGCCTGCGGTGTAAATGGTACGGATATCGGCTGCAGTGAAGTATTTTTGGATCGCCTTAAAGAATGTAAACTCCTGACTGCGTCCTTTGACACTTCAAACACATATTCTGCTCAGCGAACATTATTTCGTATTCTCATGCCCAGAAAATCAAGGATTGCCGATTCGTCCGCATTGACACTACCAAAGGAAAAGGGGTTGGTCATCGTGAGTGTGAATTCTATATCTTTTTTCACTTGTAGCAAAAAAATTTATTACAGCAGCCAATTCAGGATCATTTTCGATTATTTGCGTATCGATTTGACATTGTTTGTCCATCGGTCTGTCTCATGTCTGTCCATTTATCTTTGTTTTCAACGAACGGTTAGCATATTTTGAAATGCTCCGACAAACATTGGTAAACTGAAATGCTTCGGTCAAAGAATGAGTAGATCGGATTGGACCGTTTCTGTCGATCGATCACTTCCCTTGTTTTTCAAGAAGCGGCTATATGAAATATATTTTCAATTTTAGCTTTTCTTGACAAAAATCGTTGAAAAATAATATATTGATGTACTAAATGTATTGTACAAATTTGGATAGGATGGGACCATTATTTTAACCCAAACGACCATATAAATTTTATTTGAAAAACTAAGTCTTTTCATAGTAAAAAGATCGGCGTTTTCATTTTTTATGATAAAGACAGCCGAAAAATTATTGTAATCGAAGTAACGTAGGGTATTTAACTATTGGTCATACGTGCCTATAACAATTCAACCCATTTTAATGAGAGTGATGATGAAAAGCAATGCACAATGCACAAGGGCGCATAGAGGTAAACTTAAAGAAAAGATAACACCAAGAGATTAGAAAATTCATTAAAGTAGCCCAAGTTTAAAATAGTTTCAAGGCGGTTTTTAAATGAAAAATCTTATACTACTCTATAGTTTATTTTTTCGTTGAATTTTTTATCTTTACAGCAGTCTATTGCATTGGCAGTACGCGCAGAGAAAAAACTAAACCATCTTATCCCAATCTATTCCTTATGTCCCTTACCCGTTTCATGGTCATCATGACTGTTCTTAAATATTTTAAAGACGAAGTATGTACCGATTGCATGCTACTCTGCTCTAGTGAAGCGGTATGGATTATGACCGTAACCTAATCGTAATTAATGGTAAGTGGAAATAAAGAAACAAAGAGAAAACTTCAAAAATAACACGAAAATTATTTAAACGCTGCTCATATTTTAGTTTTTTTTGGCAATGAAACTCTCGCTCTTGTTTTTGTTAAATAGTGATCGACTAATCAGTCGCGTGTAATAAATTGTTAGATGTGCAAATAAATTCTCCGCACTTTTGATCAATTTCAACTTTATTTAAAATGTGCTTGTTACAAAGCCTATTAACCGAACCATTACTATCTATGGTCTTTTGTCACTTATCGGGTGGCTTAGGAATGCCCTCCCAAATAGTCATCGAGTCATTTACGCACATTTTCAACTTGTTGTGGATCGATGATCTGCATCGAATTGAACAAGCGCCACAAGGAGTAAACAACTTCTCAGCTCAATTTTAAGATTACTCTTAAGATTACTTAAGATTATACTTACTTGACTGCTTTAGCTTTTCGAATTCCTTTGACCGTAAGTGATTGTTTTTTCTTAAGAGCGCTATTTACTTCGACTAGTTGGGATTGGGACAAACACAAATGTCTAAGCGACGTATAAAAAAAATAACAGAGGAAATGAAAGCGGCAGATATGTCTTATGAAGTACCCGGCTTCAACGCAGCGAATTTATTCGTCTATTATTTAGTTTAATTTTAAAGAAAACCTCTTTCTTGTCAAATCTTTTCATTCTTAGTGCATGGAGAAGAGGTGTTCCTTAATTTTTTGATGATGAGGTATTAATTACCGACCATCGTTACAAGCTAACACCAACCACTATAGATAAATTTATATAAATTTGATATCAAATGTAAAATTAAAATCATCAATAAAAAGAAACACATTTCGCGAATACAAAACCAGTTATATTAATATATATGACGTTAACCTATAATTTTTTAACCTATAAATATTATTGTTTCAAGAGTAATGAAGTGAATGAATCGATGTAGTTTTAGTAGCCACGAGTATAGTAACTTGATTGTTATAGATGCATGTGTGTGTGTGTGCGTGTTTTTTTTTTTTTGGCATGGTGTAATCACCATCCGATCACTATTGACTTATAAGTATTTCATAGTGCTTTTTTTGATTTCGTTTTAATGTCGAACGGGCGGCTTTTTTCCTACTACGAGAGTTCGTTTATTGATTCATTTGCATAATAATTTGCTTACGTTGTGATTTTTTGTGTTCGGTTTATGTATTTGGTTTTTAAAGACCCTTCAGAAAATATGGTTTCTTTTGCAAATTAAAGGCAATCAATTAGCTCATGTCTTGGAGCCGAAAGTAAGGAAATGAAAGGAAAAAGTAAGTTAAGCTCTCTCATTTAAATGAATAGGCGGTTATCCGAATGAGTGACTTTTTCTTCTTGCATTGATATCACCTCAAATGACGTCTGTAACATTAAATGAGGCCAAATGTCACGCCCATATTTTTAATTACATTTTTAACGATGTTGTAAAATGAGATAAATTCATAATCTCTTTTTGTCCCTTTGTGGTAAAACAAGAACGAAACTCTGCACGGAAAAAAGAGGTTGTGCAGTTCACGCACGACGAATGTCAAAATCCAGGAGATAGAGGACTGGAATGACAATTGTGAAAAGAAGGAAAGAGAAAGATGGAGAGAAGGTGGTCCTAGCTCGAAACAGTAAATATCGAAAAAGAAAATATACAAAAGATTTAGAGTTACGATAAAAGAAAAAAATAAACAATGACGCGAAATAAATAAAAATGTTCAAGTTCCATTAAAGTTTGCTTAACAGTAACATAAAAAATAAATATCAGTAAAAACAGAAAAATGAAGAAAAAAAAGATTTTATTAACTGAATAATAGCGTGAATTATTATAAAATTCTAAATGTATATATATCACTGCACACACAACAAACAATAAGCGTAAGTACAAGTTGTTTAGTGTATAATGTAATATGATCTTAACTTGTAATCGAGCTTCACAATTATCAGGCTTTGTAGGGAAGGCGCATATAATAAAAAGAAAAATTTTTTGTCTGCACCATGATGCCAAGTTAAGGGCACAGTGCCGTGGTTGCTTTGCAAACAAATAGAAAAGCGACTTAATTCGAATTAAATTTTTTTTTTGTATCAAACTAAATCAACAAAGACTAAGGAATTGACGGAAATCAAATCCTTTGACTAGAAGTATGTGTAACTTTGTTATATAAAAACATGTGCGTGGTGAAAAATTGCTAGAACGAACGCATTATGAAGACTGTAACGGAAATATGGAAGCTCAGCTATATGAAAGTAAATTGGTAATTGAGATCATGTAAGTGATAAATACATAGGTTTGGGGAATTGGCTCTTTAATGGTAGTATACGCACTGTGTAACTGTTAAATCAAAGAAAAAAAAAAAGATTTGTTGAAAGTTGTTAAACGGTTACGTTCTAAAGAGAATATATTTGAGCTAAAATGTGTAATAAGAGAATAAAGGCGATAATAAGTACTTAAGAAGATAAGAATAAAACACACAGAAAACTTGCGATATATGAAATGTGAAACCTGCAACGATAAAAGAGACAACCGAAATGAATGTCATCTTATTTCACTACCCCGATCGTAACACCGATATATTTATCATCTTCAACGCCGTAGTCAACGGTCGTCAGTTCAACAAAAAGACTTATGTACTTCATTGCCTTGTACTGATTATAGCACATTTTTTGTTTGTTATTTTTTTTTCTCAAATCCAATTGATATGATGAACGATATATAGCACTGCTATAAAAGTTACATACAGTCTAAGTGTATCATATAACCTGCGCGATAACATCATTTATGTTAAAAATTGTTTAGATTTTTCTTTTTTTTGTTTTTACTCTCAGAGGATGTCCCCTATACTGATCAGCAAGCAATAGGGAAAGAGAAGGAAATAGGCAACCTAGTGTGGGTAAGTATTATGCCGACTTTACCGGTTAAGCCCTCGCTACCAAAGTGCAACTGCACCGCACTTGAGATTTGAATTCGCAACCAATACCTTGTTAGTCGTGATTCCTATCTACTGTAAGAACTGATGCTCTTTTTGAAGGACATACGTAGACAGCAATATGAAAATGGACTGTGTGGAGCTCCTGCGCTAAAAGCTTCGAAAAACGAATGTAAAAGAGTTGTACGTCCGTAAGTTAGTCAGTGGCTTCATGCAAACGGCGCCAAAGGCGTAAGCAATATTTTTTGCTAATAATTTGACCTGACTTTACGAATTTATAATGCACCACTATAACGATAATCAAAGAAAACGTTGTCTTACCACCTTTTGTTTGTTATATTTACCTTTAGTTTTATATTTGCTATGTAGTTACTTTAAAAAATACGAATTTTTCTTTGGTTCATTTTATTTGAGTAGGTGGCGATTGTGCACTAGATTAACAACTGTCCATAAAAAAAAACCAATTTACTAAAATAACGAAAATCCAGTAAACAAACATGGAGATAAAACGGTTATGGTCGAAACCAACTGCAAACTATTAGAAAGTACGGGAAGTAGGTGTTTCACTTTTTTAGATTTGCTTCAGCTATAGCAATTTTCCTCAAGCAGCTGTGATTGTGTTACCGTCAATGACGTCACAAAAAAGAATAACTTATTCCAGTATATATATTCCGATAGAACAAATTTCCCTGGTTACCCTGTATTTCGCATTAAATGCTCGAGAAAACATTCAATCATTGCCGAGAAGCAAATTTGTCTTTTAGAGATAGATATGATTATCTTAAAATAGTTTACAATTATTATTCTGTAATTTCGATTGGTTCAAGTAGGGGGACTTTAAAAAGGATTATTAAAGACATGCGCTCGCAAAAAAAAAAATCTGGTTCTTAGGTATAACGAGACTATGATATTAAGGCTTATCAAGCGCGAAAACACTCTTCCTTTGATAGTTTCTTATAACTTTGCTTTTATAGATTAAGAATTATTTTTCTAATTTTGGATGGCAAAGCGTTTTTCAGTAAATTTGTTTTTATTATTAAAGAAGAATTCGCATAAGAGTCCGTTGTACTTCGCCGTTAAAATAAAGCAAGATCATCAGTTCAGTTCCTATCAGTTCTGAAGTGAGATCATGCACATTGAGACTCAAGTTCGTAAAAAATGACAGGATGTTAGTCTTTTCCGCCAATAGTAGGTTAAAAGGTTTGTTCTACCCGACAGTGTGTGAACTGAGAAAAAAATTCATAGATTAAAAGGCGTAGAAACAAATGTGACGTGTCACCTAACTCGGACTTTTGCAGTTACATTAGAACTTGCTTATGCCTAAGCCATTTCAGAAAACATGGAAAGATTCTATTAGTAATAAAAATTTTTATAGTGGCTTATGTGATAAACGATTCTTCTTATGCAGGCGGCATTCAACTGAAATTTCACTAACAAACAAAATTTTTAGCCGATACTCTTAACTAGATATTTAATTATTTGCTTTTTATCAATGTATATTTCTTTAATTGTTTGCGAGATTAGTATTGAATTGATTGAGTTTTTACTTATTGCGAATAATTCTCTCATTTTAATTTGGTAAGCACTATGATCGTTTTGCCAGTTGCCTTTTTTTAAGCTGGTACACTGACGTACTTTCGCCCAAGAACGAACGCTATTGAAAATGGTTCGGATCGGTCTACTTTTCCGCCCGCACCGCATATAATGCCCTATTTTGAAAAGTCGTCATAAGGAAAAAAATCGTAATCTTCAAAATTTCTCGGCAAAAGTGACTAACAGGTAGTATTTCGGCATTCTAAATTGGTATAAAAGCGTTGGACCGACTGGGGAAATTTTTGAACCCCCTCTCTTATAGCAAAAACTGAAGTTTATGCGACAAAAAGGTACAATTTTCATTAATTTTCATTTAAATTAACATGAAATAATTAACTGTGCTAAATTTAGAGCATCTCGGCCTATTTTTTGGATTCTACCCTAATAAGAATTTTCACGAAATTTGACCGTTTGTAGAGCAGAGTCGAAGTCTCTGTTTTAACATGTGG